ATAGATAGATTTATGTTTTCTACTTCATATTATTATCAAAATCTACCGAGTAGTTAGTTTGAATCAATTACATAAATCATTAAAAAAATGCATACTAAAAACTATGAATTTGAGTGAGCAAACTGATTTTTTTTTTCTTTAAGGATGCAAAGGGAGTATTTTTTTTAATAGATCTATGTGCATTGTCTAAATCCTAATAGCATGAACACTAACACTATTTTTTTAGCATTTGAAATAAGAGCCATCAATTGATTATCAATAAGATATCAACTAACAATCTATCAAGAATAAATATGCATCTATTATCATTAGTTTGTGTTCACTATACTAAATTACTAATATTGATCATGTAATAATACACATGCATCCTTTATCATGCAAACTTTTGGAAGAGATAATACCCAAATGGCCAAGATAACAGTAATCTAATATTAAATGCGCACACACATATATATAGAATGTGGTTCAAATGAGAACCAAGTCCTAATGTGAGAACCGTTAGAATTGCTATTTTTAATTGTACGTAGTATTATGATTGATTGTGTTTTTAGTACTATTTTTAACATTGATGTATTTTATTAAAAATAGCAACACCATTTGTATTAGTATTGACTATATGTGAAAATGATAGCACCATGTGATATTAAAAATAGCATCATACACAATAAAAAATAGAATCAAATATGGTCCTCACGGTTCTCACACCAGGACTACCTTTTATTTGAATCAGGCCATATATATATATATATGTATGTGATGTGGTTCAAATACGAACCAAATCTTAATATGAGAACCACTATTTTTATTTGGGCGTAGTGCTATGATTGATTGTGTTTGATGCTATTTTTAACCTAGATAAATTTTTATAAAAATAGCAACACAATTTCTGGTAGCATTTGTAAAAATAATAGCATCATCTAATATGAAAAGTAGCATTATAAACAATTAAAAATAGCATAAAAAACGGTTCTCACGGTTCTAACATCATGAATAGTTTTTATTTGAACCAACCTATATATATATATATATATATGGAGTTGTGTGCCTCTTCTGCAATCACCTCACATTTATGTCTAGTAACATTAATGTATGGAGTGAATTTGTATATTATTTTTATTTTATTTGATAGGTAGTCAATGATAAATTAATTTTTTTTTTTTTCCTTATAAAGTTATTTTTTTAAATAAATTATAAAAATTAACTTATGTCTATAATTGTAGAATAGGCCAATAGGGAGAGCACTACTCCTATCCATTTCATCATCAACACATTGTGGTAGTATACAATTGTAGAAAAATATGACGATTTTTCGTATTATTGTGAAATAAGGCGTGTAATCAGTTATGGGATGAACGAAATTGTTAAATTTCAGTTTTAACGAGTCAAACCGAATCTTAACTAATTGAACAATAAAATTATCTATTTTATTGTTTGTGTTGTTGGTTAGTTTAGTTGTGAGTGTGTTTTTTATTCTAGCGTTGCTAGTCGGGATTCTAGGCGGGCTTCTGACCTGTCCTCCCACTTTTTCAACTGTTGGCTGCTGTGTATTCAGCCGTTGGCTGCTGTGTATTCGCACATTTATGCATTTTGATTTATAAAATTATCTATCGTTTCGGGAAAAAAAAAGAACAATAAAACATTACATAAAAATTTATATCTTCCAGCCTTAACGAGCCAAGATGAGTCGACTCGTTAACTAAACAAGCTAAACTAAGCTTGAGCTCAGCTCGTTTATGAAACGAGTTGAGTCAAATACGGACAACTCGTTTTGTTTAACAATTCTAATAGTAAATTATTATTATTATTATTATTATTATTATTATTATTATTATTATTATTATTATTACTTCTACTACTACTACCTATATATATAATTGTTGGCAAACTTCAATAAATTTTATTCAACTAGCAATTTAATAATAGTAGTAGTTCATTTAATAAAAATATGTGTTCATTTAATAAAAACATGTTCACTATTTAATAAATATACAAAACTTTAGTTACACGATTTATTTTGGCATGTCCCATTTTGGATGGTGCACTTTTTGCAATATTTTTTTATGTCCTGAAATACAAAATATTTTTTTTATTTTGATATTATATATATTTGGGTATGATATAAATACATATTTCATAACTAATTAAGAATGACTACAAATATCTATATTTTCTATTGCATTCATACAATAATAAAAAAATATTTTATCGGATATTACAAAGATACATCAAATATTTTGAAAAATCAAATACCATAAAACAAAACCCTTCATTACTCTTGCAATATATTTCAAAATTTTAATATTATATACATGTGTATAACTTATAATACTCTATGTTTAAAATTTAATTTCATTATTTAACTTATATAATTTTAATATTATATAAATATAAAAAATTTATAATATTTTATTTATATATATGCAATTGCAAATGATGGAATACTAGTGGTTATAGTTAGGTGGGTCTAAAGTAGTAGCAGGGGTAAGAACGATTATTAACAGAAAATCTTGGGACCACTTTGTAATTTGGCGCAACAGGGGTAGCGCGTTTATCTGTACAACTCTAAGAGCATCTCCAATGGTATCTTGTCCATTTTGAGTTTCATGGCATGAAAGAAGGAGATTGAAAAATTGTATGTCCAATGGTTAATGTTAAAGATGGTTTAATTTGACATGTGTAAATTTATAATTGGTTGAAAAGAAGAAATAAATTAAATAAATAATATAATATGTAATAGAAGTTGTCTAGAAGCACTTCTACTTCTAGAAAGGCTTCTAGAATTTTTTTAGACCACATAAGTTTTCTTGTGCCATGTGGCAACAAAATGAGGCAATCCAAATGCCATTGGAGATGCTCTAAAACACCTTTCAACTTTCTCATTTTGCATGATCGATCGACCTGCTCTCCAATCTTCAACCCAACCTCAAATTTCTGCTTAGCTCTCATAAGGTGCGTCAATTTTATTATAATATTTATTTTTGATTTGAAGTGATCATAATCATATGCTATTATTTTTCCATCCGCGAATGTTTGTGCCGAATTTGATGCTTTCTCGTTTGAAGTGATCATAATCATATACTATTCTATTTTTTCTATCCGCGAATCAGGAGCTTCTGTATCTCCAATGTTTGTGCTGAATTTGATGCTTTCTCGTACTAATTCTGCTGATTTCTTCAAGTGTTTTGATTTTTTTAATAGTGCTTTTGAGAATACGATCCAACTAGTCACCAACTTTTTCTTCTGTGATTTGAGTGTGTTCTCTATTTAAGATAGTTTTCCCAGCTATTACATGATAACTTGATAAGAAACCTGACTATTTCATTCATGAAATGTATGTAGTTTCTATCCCTATGGTAACCTTTACTTCCAGTGTCTATGTGAATAGATGTGGGTGATGTTGAGAATGTAATTATTTTATTTTATTTTTGTTTCTAATTTTTTCTTTTAAATGAATATATGCACTTGCAGCTGGTTCAATGTTATCTGGTGCTTGATAACAGTTTTTTCGATGTAGGAATGCTTGTTTCCTGAAGTTAACTGCATATCGATTATAAGATGGCCGAGTCTGAGGAGAGTATCTTGGACACTAACACGGTCAAGAATATTGGAAATAGCAGATACACGTCGATTGCCAAAGAAAACGGGACATGTGGGATTATTTTTGCTGTCATTGTTGCAATAGTCATACCTGTAATCCTCTCTGTTGTGATACGGGGAAAGAAAAAGTTGAAGCAAAGAGGATTTCCAGTTCAGGTTGGTGGTGAGACTGGTTTGGCTATGCGCAATGCTAAATCACTCAAACTAGTTGAGGTCCCATGGGAAGGGGCCACTACTCTTGCAGCATTGTTTGAGCAGTCGTGTAAGAAATATTCACACCAAAAATTTCTCGGTACAAGAAAGGTAATCGGTAAGGATGTTGTTACAGCTAGTGATGGGAGAAAATTTGAGAAGCTTCACTTGGGTGACTACAAGTGGGAAAGCTATCGCCAGGCATTTGATCGTGCGAGCAATTTTGCTTCCGGTCTTGTTAAACTGGGACATGATGTGGACACCCGTGCAGCCATTTTTTCTGAAACCCGGGCTGAGTGGCTCATTGCTTTTCATGTAAGTTGTAAATTCTTGAGAAATTACAGATTTCTCACTTTATTTATTTATTTATTGTTATTACTAATATACCTTTTTTTCCTGGTATAATATTATCTCTATAATTTTCAGGGATGCTTCCGTCAGAACATCACAGTTGTTACCATTTATGCTTCTTTAGGAGATGATGCCCTGATTCACTCATTAAATGAGGTGGTCATGATAGGATTGATATATTTTTGCTTGTCGTTCTAGGAATAGTGCAAATGTTTTATTTCTTATGAGATTGTATTTCTTTTCCGCTTGAGTACATCTTCGGAGATCAATGCTTGAGATAATGACTGTAATAAAAAGTAAAACTTACTCATGGTCTCAAGTGTTTTTACAGACTCAAGTGTCAACCCTGATTTGTGATTCCAAGCAACTGAGGAAGTTGGCAGCAATAAGTTCAAATCTGCCAACCATTAGACATGTCATTTATTTCGATGATGAAGACTCCCCCGATAGTTCTACTTTTAGCCAAGAGTTTAGTAAATGGAAAGTTTCTTCATTTACAGAGGTGGAAAAAATTGGAAAAACTAATCCTGCTCCGCCTAATATGCCAATCAAGAAAGATATTGCTGTCATCATGTACACGAGTGGCAGTACAGGCCTCCCGAAGGTGAGTTTATATCTTTTTCACTTCATGCATCCAAAGAACCTACTGTTTTGGGTCATGAAATTAGTAATCAATCAATAATTGGCCAATTAGAGAATTGAGTTTAGGATTGATTTTCTATTCTTGTTTTATGAGGCTACCTTTACTGTACTTGGAGAGAAGGATTCTTGCCGACGTGTTTTTTCTATTAAATCTGTAGGGTGTTATGATGACTCATGGCAACATTGTAGCCACTGCAGCAGCAGTTATGACGGTGGTCCCCAGAATTGGAAGTAATGATATCTATGTGGCATACTTGCCTCTAGCTCATGTGTTTGAATTAGCTGCTGAGGTAACATGTTTGATTCATTGAAATACTTTTATTATTGATTAAGGTTTGCAGGCAAGTTCTAAGACTTTTCCTCCTACAGACTGTCATGTTAACTGCTGGTACAGCTATTGGATATGGCTCAGCTCTGACGTTAACTGACACTTCAAACAAAATAAAAAAGGGAACTAAGGGTGATGCTTCTGTGCTGAAGCCTACTTTAATGGCAGCTGTTCCAGCTATACTCGACCGTGTTAGAGAGGGAGTTCTAAAGAAGGTTATTTATTTGCGGTGCAATTTTTTTCATATAACTTCTGAAAATGTTAATGTGTTACTTGATGCTTATTCTTCGTATCCTTTTAATATAACTTGTGAAAATAATAATGTGCTTATTCTTCATATCCTTTAATGCTTTAGGTGGAAGAGAGAGGGGGTATGGTAAAGAAACTTTTCAATTTCGCTTACATGCGCCGGTTGTCAGCCATTGAAGGAAGCTGGTTTGGAGCATGGGGATTAGAATCCATGTTGTGGGATATTATTGTCTTTAAAAAAATAAGGTCTGTACTGGGAGGAGATATCCGATTCATGCTTTGTGGTGGAGCTCCTTTATCCGGTGATACGCAGAGATTTATCAACATTTGCATGGGGTAATTTCTATGCGAACATAGCATAATTGAAAATAGCGTGATTTACAAAAGTTACCACCAAAGTTTAGAATAATCACTCAGGGGAACCAATTTCCTTTTAAAATACACAATATGCCCTTTATATTTGTTGTCTTACGATAGTGCACAAACGAAGAGGTCTATCTGAAAATATCAAGAGGGTATTTGTAATTTTGAAAGACAAGTTTGTTCTTCATTTATCAGTTAAACTTGTGAAGTAATCTGGTTAGACATTCGATTAACCGTCTTGTTTTTGTAGTAAGATCAACTCATAACATGGTTAACTTTGTCTCTGGGCTTTTATAAGTTGTTACACAACATTCATTGTAGACTTTTTATTTTTAATGTTTTGAAGGGCCCCAATCGGTCAAGGATATGGGCTGACAGAAACTTGTGCTGGAGCTGCTTTTTCGGAATGGGATGATCCTTCTGTTGGACGTGTTGGTCCTCCTCTCCCTTGTTGCTATATCAAGGTAATGTGTTGGTCCTCCTCTTCCTTGTTGCTAGTTCAATGTATATTTTAATAGGAATAATTCCGCATGCCCTTTCTTGGAATTAGTGAAGTGCAATTTTATCTCTATTTGTTTCATTTGAAAATTATTTTCTTAAAATTTCTAAACTTACACTAAATTCACGTGTTAATCTGTTAGATATTAGTTAAATCTCACACAAGAGATGAGAATTCTAATGAGGGGATGCTATATGCTATATTTCCATTCACCAGTCTTATGCATGGCCATGTATGTATGAGTGTACTTGTTTTCTGCATTAGTGTGCGTCTGTCTCCATTGTTCTTTTTGTATTTAGTTCCTATACTTTTCGTCATTTGAGCCTTGGATTTCATTTCTTGCAGCTTGTTTCTTGGGAAGAAGGTGGCTACACGATAATGGATAATCCTTTGCCCCGAGGAGAGGTTGTCATTGGTGGGGCCAGCGTGACGGCTGGTTATTATAGAAATGACGCCAAAACTGAAGAAGTGTACAAGGTTGGAATGTTTCCAAGTGCATATTGGTCACTGTTTGCAGGGTTGGAGCAAAAGTTCTTACCAACTCCTATAATTTTGCTCGACTTATGCAGGTTGATGAAAAAGGAATGCGCTGGTTCTACAGTGGTGATATTGGAATGTTTCATCCCGATGGTTGCCTTGAGATTATTGACAGAAAGAAAGATATAGTGAAGCTTCAGCACGGGGAGTACATCTCACTTGGAAAGGTTGCCTCTGTTAAATAACTACCTTTGGCGTTTTCCCTAACTACAAATAAACTCAACAATCATTTAACATGCTACTTCCTGACAAAAGTAAAACTGTTGAAATTTGTGATATAACACAGAACTCGAGAGGGTATTTGAATTTTCGTAATTTTCTTTTCTCTTGTTTTCAATTCTGTTTCCTATTTTCTTTTGAGTAAGCTACAAGTTTCAGGGGTGGTTTTTGATGGCTGTGCAGGTTGAGGCTGCACTCATGTCGAGCAACCTCGTGGATAACATAATGGTGTATGCAGATCCTCTCCACAACTTCTGCGTTGCTCTAATTGTGCCTTCACGTCAGGTCCTGGAAGGATGGGCCAATGAATCTGGAATCAAGTACAACGACTTCTCTCAGTTGTGTGAGAAATCAGAAGCTAAAAACGAGGTTCAACAGTCACTAGCCAAGGTTCGTAATTGTTTCGTTCCTACCTTGTTTATCTCATATGTCCAATTGATTAATTTATGAAATATTGTTGATTTATGGTATTAAGGATAGCCCCATATCTCCAAATCACCTCCTTCAGAAGATGGAATTTTGAAATGGAAATGTGTGTCCATGTGATTTTTTTTCTTTTTACTGTCTCGGCAATATCACAGGCGGGAAAAGCAGCGAAACTGGACAAGTTTGAACTTCCTGCCAAGATCAAATTGTTGCCCGACCCGTGGACCCCAGAGTCGGGGCTGGTAACTGCAGCACTTAAGTTGAAGAGGGAGCAACTGAAGGCCAAGTTTAAGGATGAGCTAAATAAGTTGTACAATTGAAGCTCAAGAATTACCCCGTGTGTTTTGAGGAGACGTTCTGAATAATCCTGTGTTGCCCTCTTTCTGCTACACTATATCAGCGGATGATTTTTACATTGCGTCCCTCTTTTGTTACAAGATTAAGTCCATTGTTCGCCTCACATACTGTATTACAATAACAATAATGACTGTGAGATTTTTCGTTAGCTTTGGTAGTATTCTCTGGTTCAGGTTCAGGTTCATTATAGATTTGCATGGATTCGTTCCTTAGTGCCAAGATTGTTCTGAGAAGTGTTTGGTATGGAGATTGGGTTTTCTTGCCAAACTGAACTTTTGAGCTGAATAGGTACAATAGGAAAAAACATAAAAAAGAAAAAAACATAAAAAAGAAAGAGAAAAACAAGATATTCTTAAAAACTGAAGTAATATGAGAGAGCAATTCGAAGATGCATGTGTTGGATGCGATCGCTAAGCACCGATAATTTATTTAGTTAGGATGTCATAGAAGACTATAATAATCAAGTATTATAAAATAATTTTGTATTTCATAGAATTAGGAAAAATAATACATTTCTACGTAAATTCTAAATTATTAATTATATGAATTTAAAATACTTAAAAATTATTAATTATATTAATTTACAATACTTAAAAAATTAATAAACATGAGACACTTAATCTATAAATATAAATATAATCACAATACAATATTTTTTTGTTAAAAAAATAAAACGAATCAAATATATGAAGTTGTAAATAATATCAATTTTATACATATATAATTTTTAAAATATAATTAAAAATATCTTTCTTGACAAATTTAGTATAAAAGTACGAGTACCATTTGAATTAATTATCACTTTAGTAGTTATTTATTACTGTTGCATATCCATCATATATAATTTCACAATATAGATGAAACTTATTTTAATTTTTATTATACAAATATTAATATATTTAAGTATCATATAGTATACGAGTATTGTACTAGTTAAACCACTGTTACATGCAAAACCCTCTAAATCAAATTTATTTTTTCAACATACCAAATCAACAAAACTCAATTCCTTACTACATTTTTTTTTACTATTAATACACACCCACAAGTCACACGCGCCCACACATATATATTAAAAAATATCAAACAAAATTAACAACTCAATATAAAACTTACAATTGATATTAATCTCAGTCATTTCACACGCGCACACACATAGGTATTATTTATTTATTTCATTTTCTTTCTTGTGCATATAAGACCGAGGTTCTTGGCCCAATGGACTCCCTATAAAAACTCCGACCCGATCGGAAGCCCTTTCGTTACTCTTCGATTCTCTTGTCCCTTCTCATCTTTCCCCGCTGCTCAAGTCGTCTTCGAGCTGTGATTCGTGAACCACCTTATTATCAACCCAGGTGAGATATATATGTTTAAGTGATATCTTAGTTGTTTTGTATCGTCTTTATTGGTAACTGCTGTTGTTAATTGGCAAATAGGCATAAAGTTGTGAATTTGCGATGATACATAAATTGTTTGATCCATTTTTCTTTTCCTTGTGACTTATGTTTTTTACTGCGTGTATGATGTTGCTCATCGGTTTGTTGTCTGATAGTTGCGTTTTTCCTTACTTTGCCTCTAATGGCTTGCTGTCCTACTCGCGTTAGTGAAAAATGTGTCCTCTCTCTATCTCTCAATGGGGAATTCGTAGCTATATGAAATTTTAGTTGCTTGAAAATGAAGTAAATACAATTTTCTTGATTTCCTGATTAAAAGGGGTAGTTATAAATGTATATTTCAGAATTTCAGATGGGAAAAACTATGAAAGGTAAGAAGAGCAAAAGGGCAACCTAAAGTTGATGCTGAGTTGCCCCTGTTCATCCATCTGAATTTTCTGTGGTGGTTTTACCTTCTCAGTTGTTTTTGTTTAAGCCACCAGTAATCTTGAGTTGTGGTTTTAATTTTAAGTGTTCACATTTGCATCTTTTTCTCAAATCAAGAATCAGGTTCTCCTGCTTCTGTATTCTTAAGTTAATAATTGGATTTTAATTTGAAGTGCTCGCATTTGCTTCTTTTTCTTAAATCAAGAATCGGGTTCTCCTACCTTTGTTTTCCAAACGGTGGAGTAATCTTTTCGTGAGCAGCTCCATCAAAAAGTTGCTGTATCTTAAATATATTTCCTTTTGGCTTGTGGTAGGATGAAGGTCCGTTCGTCTGTGAAAAAGATGTGTGAGTTTTGCCGAACAGTGAAGAGACGTGGACGTGTTTATGTTCTGTGTACTGCTAATCCCAAGCACAAGCAGCGGCAGGGCATCTCCACATTTGCGTACCAAGGCCTGATACCACCAGCGTACGTTTTCTCGAGGTTTCATCCTTCAGTTATTCATAGTTTTGAGTCAAGTAGATTGTTAAATTTATGCATTTGCTTTGAGATAAGTGGTAGGTGGGACCCGTTTTCTGAGCATTAGAGAGAGGTATATGATTTAATTGTTGATGTGTTAGCCTGCTCTTAAAAATCTTATGAAGTTCACAGTTTGATGGCAACTGATGCTGATTAGGATTCTTCTAAAAAAAAGATCAGAAAGAAAAAGGAGAAGGAAGTTTATGTTGTGTAGACATCAAAAGAGTTCCTTTGTTCTTTCTTTCTTTCTTTTTTTGTAGCCCCCCTCATAGGACCTTATTTGACAATATATACAAATGCTAATCCCCAACTTATTGTATGGCTGGCTGCCTTTAAATTTATGTTTTTGCAATGTGAATTGCAGGTCCTTAACGGCAAACTCGAAGGAGATGACATCATTTGCTGCTGATGGTGCCAAAAGTGGTTTGCCTTCACTCATATCCCACAAGAATGACGCATTTACTGTGACACCTTGGTGGAAAGTTGGTCTTGTCTCTCGTCTGTTCAATCAGAGCAGCAACCAGTAGTGCATTTTAGTGGTGGAATGAACTGCGAAGAAAAGAATTTTAGAAATTATGTAGCTGAGTTTCTTTCGTTTCAACTTCATTGTGTTCTATTCTCATTTCTTGTTTTCGTGTCATGCTTCTAAGACATTATTGTTATTTGATTGCGTGAGGTAATCCTTGATTTGGTTTTCAACAATAAGGATTTGACTAGCCATTTTGAAACTGTCTCCTGGTGATTGAATAGAAGGCTTTTGGGTTACATTATCTTATTTTGGTTTGCTGAGATGAATACTAAGCTGGATTAACCTAAATGATATCTTATATCGCTAGATGAATTGTTTCATGTTCGGGGGATTTCCTGTTGAAACGACAGAAACTATTTTAGTTTCAATCAAAATCAAATGCTATCTATTTTAGTTTCAATAACACGGAATATTTCATCACTTTATTTATTATGAACTCCACATGTAATACATGCCTTACCTGAGAAAGGATACATTACCTGAGAAAGGATACATAAAACCAACATCTTTTATTGTTTTCATGTGAGAAGTTTGGGCTATGTTAGCTCAGCATCTTTTATTGTTTTCATAATGAGAAGTTTGAGGCTATGTAAGTTTGGTCCGAATGGTATGTATTAATCTTATAGAGACGAGGATGGGATTTTGGTCCACGTTTAGTGC